TTAAACTGTCTGTAATAATAATAATAATATCAGAGCCTGGCACTGAATGGGTTAAACTGTCTGTAATAATAATAATATCAGAGTCTGGCACTGAATGGGTTAAACTGTCTGTGGCCACACACAATATCAGAGCCTAAAATTTGAAATGTAGTTAAACTGTCCGTAATAATAATATCAGAGTCTGGCACTGAATGGGCCGAAATCGTCTGTATGGCTAATATCAGAGCCTGGCAATTGGAATGGGTTAAACTGTCTAAAAAATAATAATAATAATAATACTGTGAGTCTGCACTGAATGGGTTAAAACTGTCTGCAAATAATATACATAATATGACGATATATCGATACCAGGATATATACTCGGCACTGGAAATGGGCTGCTAAAACTGTCTGTAATACAATATCAGAGTCTGGCACTGAATGGGTTAAACTGTCTGTAATAATAATAATATCAGAGTCTGGCACTGAATGGGTTAAACTGTCTGTAATAATAATAATATCAGAGCCTGGCACTGAATGGGTTAAACTGTCTGTAATAATAATATCAGAGTCTGGCACTGAATGGGTTAAACTGTCTGTAATAATAATATCAGAGCCTGGCACTGAATGGGTTAAACTGTCTGTAATAATAATAATAATATCAGAGTCTGGCACTGAATGGGTTAAACTGTCTGTAACAATAATAATAATATCAGAGTCTGGCACCGAATGGGTTAAACTGTCTGTAATAATAATAATATCAGAGTCTGGCACTGAATGGGTTAAACTGTCTGTACACAATATCAGAGCCTGGGTACTGAATGTCAAACCGTCTGTAATAATAATAATAATACGGTCAGAGCCTGGCAATTGGAATGTAGCTAAACTGTCTGTACAATATCAGAGTTCAAGTACTGAATGGGTTAAACTGTCTGTACTAATAATAATATCAGAGTCTGGCACTGAATGGGTTAAACTGTCTGTAATAATATCAGGGCCTGGCACTGAATGGGTTAAACTGTCTGTAATAATAATATCAGAGCCTGGCACTGAATGGGTTAAACTGTCTGTAATAATAATATCAGGGCCTGGCACTGAATGGGTTAAACTGTCTGTAATAATATCAGAGCCTGGCACTGAATGGGTTAAACTGTCAATAATAATAATAATATCAGAGTCTGGCACTGAATGGGTTAAACTGTCTGTAATAATAATAATATCAGAGCCTGGCACTGAATGGGTTAAACTGTCTGTAATAATAATAATAATATCAGAGCCTGGCACTGAATGGGTTAAACTGTCTGTAATAATAATAATAATATCAGAGCCTGGCACTGAATGGGTTAAACTGTCTGTAATAATAATAATAATATCAGAGTCTGGCACTGAATGGGTTAAACTGTCTGTAATAATAATAATAATATCAGAGCCTGGCACTGAATGGGTTAAACTGTCTGTAATAATAATATCAGAGCCTGGCACTGAATGGGTTAAACTGTCTGTACTAATAATAATATCAGAGTCTGGCACTGAATGGGTTAAACTGTCTGTAATAATATCAGGGCCTGGCACTGAATGGGTTAAACTGTCTGTAATAATAATAATATCAGGGCCTGGCACTGAATGGTTTAAACGGTCTGTAATAATAATATCAGAGCCTGGCACTGAATGGGTAAACTGTCTGTAGTAATAATAATATCAGAGCCTGGCACTGAATGGGTTAAACTGTCTGTACTAATATCAGGGTCTGTCACTGAATGGGTTAAACTGTCTGTAATAATAATATCAGAGTCTGGCATTGAATGGGTTAAACTGTCAACCAATTCAGTGCCAGACTGATATTAGTAAATAGGATAGTTTGCCCCTCCTCCTGGTGCTCAATGCCTTGATGCATTAGACATGGGGTTATTTATTAATACATTGAGCTTGATGGGACATGCTGCTTGTATAGATGCTAGTTAGAGGGAATGTGTGGTCTATTGAAACCATTAATGTCATATTACAAAAACCTTTTTACTCCAAACACCATGACCTATTCTGGTTTTAGAAGTGCCTGTAGTGATAGGAGTCTGTAGGTGCAGCTCTGTTCCCGGCGGTCTAATTCTGTGCAGAAATTCTGTCTGTTGTCAGCACACACAGCATGCCGGCAACAGTTGGAATCAGAGCTTTCAAGGAGACGCATTTATCTCCCCTCCCTATAGCATTTGTTAGTTTTTATCAAGTTTTCCCTCTCTCCCTTACAGACTCCGTGTGTGCATGCGCTCTGAGCGTAGTAAACGGTCCAATCAAAGACTCCTCTGTAAGAAGGATTTGATTGGACCTCGCATGGCTTCCATGACCTCAGATGGGAGAGTATATCTCTTATATACTTTTATATCCAGAGTCGCACTTCCAAGCCTTATCTTTAGTTTAGTTTTGGGTTTTGGGGTGTAGGACAGGGGTAGGATGAAGCTGTTAAAGTGCCTACAGTGTCTCTTTAAGTTACACCATGACCCTTTGTAGCGTTTAGATTTTTGCTGGTAATCTGCTTATTTAGGTTAATGTGACAATTTGGAATATCAGTCAGCCTGTGTTCACCTGCTTTGAAACACAATTAAAATTATAATACATGCATATACGCTGATGACACTCAGATATACCTCTCCTCCCTGGACCTCTCCCCTGCCGTCCTGCAACGTGTCACTGCTTGCCTTTCTTCCATCTCTGACTGGATGTCCTCACGCTTTCTGAAACTTAACCTCTCTAAAACTGAGCTCCTAGTCTTTCCTCCTCCTAATACTGATCCTCCTCTCTCGCTCTCCCTTCAACTCAGTGATATCCACATAAGTCCATCCCTGCAAGCACGCTGTCTTGGCGTCATACTTGACTCTGGTCTCACCTTTGAGCCTCACATCCAGTTTGTTGCCAAGTCCTGTAGGTTCCAACTCAAAAACATAACCCGCATTCGCCCCTTCTTACGCAAGATGCTACCAAGGAGCTTGTCCATGCTCTAGTAATTTCCCGCATGGATTACTGTAACCCTCTCCTGACTGGTCTCCCCAAAAGCCGTATTGCCCCGCTACAGTCTGTAATGAATGCTGCAGCTAGACTGATTTTCCTCTCTAGTCGGTCCTCTCACACCTCACCCCTCTGCCAGTCTTTACATTGGCTCCCTGTATGCTATAGGAGTCAATTCAAAGTGCTAACCCACACATTTAAAGTACTGAACAATTCTAGCCCCACTTATATCTCTTCACTAATCCATAGATATGCCCCTCCTCGTACCCTCCGCTCTGCCCGTGACCACCTCCTGACCGCTGCTCACACCCGTACGGCCAACTCGCACTTGCAGGACCTCTCGCGGGTGGCTCCTCTCCTATGGAATAGCTTGCCTACTGCCATCAGACTCTCCCCTACTCTTCAATCATTTAAGAAGGGCCTTAAAACCCATCTCTTCAGGAAAGCTTATAGCCTCCCAGAGTATTCTCTACCTTACATACCTGTCTCCTGCTCTCTCCTATGGGACAGTGCTTTGCTCTCTCCTCCAGCTCTGCTTCACTCCTACTTGATATTTCTTGCCCTAATGTTTCAAATACCCCATCTCCTATAGTCTGTAAGCTCATCTGAGCAGGGTCCTCTTCAACCTATTGTTCCTGTAAGTTTTCTTGTAATTGTCCTATTTATTGTTACATCCCCCCTCTCAAAATATTGTAAAGCGCTACGGAATCTGTTGGCGCTATATAAATGATAATAATAATAATAATATAAAAACTTAAAACATAAATAAGCTGCAATAATAAACAAAACAATGCACGCTGGGCGATATAATAATGCTAAATGGCAAGAAACTAACAATACTGGAACCGTTGCAAGTAGTGTTTTTTTTGTTTGTTTGTTTTTTTACCCCTCCTTTTTGTCCACAATCTCACAGTTCTTTTTTTTTTTTTCCCATTTAGACCTTCACCGCTAACTAATGGAGAATTACAGGAAGGTGAAAGTGCTGGAGAAGGAGATGAAAGTTCCTATTCCAGACCTGCCTTCTGACATCATTGAAATGAAGGTGAAGGATGGCAGTAAAATCCGCAATATAATGGGTTTTGCTATGGGCAAGATGGAGGCTCAGAATGTCCGACAGATTGCGTTCAGTGGCTCCGGGAAAGGTCTAGGAAAGACCATCTCCTGTGTGGAGATCATGAAGAGATGTCTACAGGATCTGCACCAGATTACAAAGATCTGCTTCAGAGAGACGGAGGAGATCTGGGAGCCTATTGTTTCCGATGTAGGTTTGGACTCCTTAACTGTTAAAAGAAACACCCCAGCCATCTTTGTTCTGCTCAGTAAGGACCCTTTGAATCCATCTGAGCCTGGCTATCAGGCACCTGGCAGCTATGATTCTCTGTGGATACAGGAACTTAAGGAAGAGTCAGTGGGACAGAAAAGGAGACGGCCGGGGACGGGCAGAGGAGCGTTGCATGGTAGAAAGCAGCCCAAGGCTCCCGCTGGGCGCGGCGATACCTACAAGAAGTCTTAATTGTAAATAAGGACTTGTTTCTGTAAATTATAAATAAAAGTTGCTTTCTACTACTGCGCCGCTAAAGTCTTGTGTCCAAAACCAGGTTTTCGTTTAGAATTTCATAAAACATGCAACAGTTTAACAGACACCGATAAAGTAAGATTTTCAACACTCTGACTACAAGCTTACAATCCAATAGGGGAGTAACAAGTTAAATATGGATTGCAGGAATTATATATTTGTGTTTGATGTGAATTATCTTAGAGGGTCACTCCAGACCCCTAAAGCACTTTAGTTGACTGAAGTGATTTATGTGTTAAGTGTCATCTATTTTTTTTTTTCTTTTCTGTTTTACAAAAAAGTGCTAATTTCAAAGGAACGTTTTTATAAATTAATATTGTTAGACCTCCTGGCTGTCAGACAACTGGTCCTGTTACTTCCTGGTTTGTTTAGCTCAGTGGAGATAAACTCAAGAGGCAGCAATTGCCCAGGGCACCTGCCTTGCAAAGACTTCTCATTGAGCTGCATTGGGAATCTGTGATTAGAAAGTCTGGGTGGGGTTCGAATGGGAGGGCTTGCAAAGGCTGCAGACACGCGATCTGCAGGTTTTGCAAACAGTGTGTAGACATACCCCAAGGGAAAAATGCATAATTAAAGGAATACGGTTTCACTGGAAGTATATCTACTAAACAGTGATGTTGATTTTATTTTAAAATTTGAGCAGTGAAGTGTCGTTTTTAAGGATGTTATAAGAGAAAGCAGGAGTGTTGAATAATAAGGTGGGGGAGAATAGGGGAGTACTGACTAAGAAGGTAAAGATTTAAGAAGCAGAGTAGGTCAGTACTGAGTAATAACATGTACAAATTGCATGCAAGAAAAAAACATATCCAAGTGGGAGCAGAGAAGGGTTGTACTGAGTAATAATGAGGAGCAGAGTATGGGAGTGCTGGGAATTAATGGCAGATAAGAGGGAGCAGAGAAGGCTTTGCCATCCTGGCTCATATTGGAACACTTCCGGCTCATATTGGCGCACTACCCACTCATATCGGCAAACTCTGTGCTCATACTGGCACACTCCCCACTCATAATGGTATACTCTAGGCTCACACTCGCACACTCCTTGCTCATATTCACACACTACTGGCTCATATTGACACACTGCAAGCTCATATATCATCGTGTATTGGTACACTCCTCGCTCATACTGGCACACTATTAGCTCATATTGGTACACTCCTCGCTCATACTGGCACACTATTAGCTCATATTGGTACACTCCTCGCTCATAACTGGCACACTTTTTGGTCATATTGACACTCTGGGCTCGTACTGGCACACTATTGGCTCATGTTGGCACACTCTGGGCTTACAGAATACCATAAAAAGAAATAATTTAGCACTTAAAGGACCACTCCAGCTTAATGAAGTGGTCTGGGTGCCAGGTCCCTCTAGGATTAACCCATATTTTTTATAAACGTAGCAGTTTCAGAGAAATTGACAGCTGCTAGAGGCGCTTGCGTGCTTCTCACTGTGAAAATCACAGTGAGAAGACGCCAGCGTCCATAGGAAAGCATTGTGAATGCTTTTCTATGAGACAGGCTGAATGCGCACGCGGCTCCTGCCGCGCATGCGCATTCAGCCGAAGAGGAGGATCGGAGAGGAGAGCTCCCCGCCCAGCGCTGGAAAAAAGGTACTTTTTACCCCTTTCCTCTCCCCAGAGCCCAGTGGGAGGGGGACCCTGAGGGTGGGGGCACCCTCAGGGCACTATCGTGCCAGGAAAACGAGTATGTTTTCTTGGCACTATAGTGGTCCTTTAAGTAAAATAATTACAGTCCAATGGCAGCTAAAACACCAAATGCAGAGGTTTTTTTGGACCTATTGCTGCTACTGGATCTTTTGGGCAATATCCTTGGTGGGGATAAAACCACCTAAGCGCACTGGATTGAGCAAACCACATTTTGCTCTGGAACATGTGAGTAGGTCTTTTTTATCTTTTTTTTTATTGTGTTATGCACTACATATTACGGTTTTACACTATTGTGGTTTTATTTGTTTCCTCCTATATATATCTATCCACGTTGAACAACTATTTGCACCATATCCTTGAGTGGGGATCATACCACTTCACACGCTATCCTTTGAGCCATATCTATGGCTCCATAACATGTGAGTGCACATTTTTATCTATCCCTACTCTCGCTCCATAGCCCAACATACTACACCATATAAGTTTCATTTATCTTTTTATTTCTATGAGGATACCTCCCACAACTACAACAATACAAAGAATCAACCCTGCACTTAATCTTTAGACGAGGATCATTTCGCCCAGGCGCATAATTGGAGCTGTATCTAAGCTCCTGAAAAGTGTGAGTGGCCCTTTATTATTTTTTCTTTCTCCAACCGACGTTTTAAATACTACACTATTCTACCTCCCATTTTCCTTTTACACCCCTATGAGAACTATTTAGGCCTTGCACCTATCTGATGTTTTCTGCACACTGGGCTTACATTGGCACATTTCCGACTCATACTGGCACACTCCCTGCTTATACTGGCACGCTTCAGGCTCATATTCACATACTCCCGGCTCATACTGGCACACTTCCGGCTCATAGTGACACATTCCCTGCTCATATTGGCATGCTTCCGGCTCATATTCACACACTCCTCGCTCATATTGGCACACTCCCGGCTCATATTGGCACACTCCCTGCTCATACTGGCACTCTTCCGGCTTATATTACATACTACTGGCTCATGCTGGCACACTCCCCGCTCACTTTGGAACGCTACCCCGCTCATACTGGCACACTCAGCTCATACTGGCACGCTATTGGCTCATGTTGTCACACTTTTTGCTCATGTTGGCACACTCCTGGCTCACATTGGCACACTTCTGGCTCTTACTGGCATACTCCTCGCTCATATTGGCACACTCCCGGCGCATATTGGCACACTCTGGGCTTTCATTGGCACACTTCCCGCCTCATGTTGGCACACTTCCCGCCTCATGTTGGCACACTCTGGGTTCATACTGGCTCATGTTGGCACACACCGGACCCCTCATAGTGCAGTTAGGACTCACATCTTTTCTGCTTCCAATAATCATTTGAGCTTGTGCTTTGATATTTTATTCTGTTTGATTTTTCCAATTGGCTTCAATTTAGCGGTCAGTCTCCATTAAACACCAGCTTCGTTAGGCACGCTTCCTTTAATTAGGACCAATTGACAGCAGAAGATGCTGATTATACATGCATTTATATCATTCCAGTGCTCTTTGAAGTCTTTCATTTTTTTTTCCATTTAAATGTCTTTGTAGGCTTAGATCAGCTTTCCTTTGAGCTGCTTACAGTTTACCTAAAAGGGTATATTTTCAGAATCTTAAATATAGATTTAAAAATTGTAGAATCTCCGACACACACCCACTGGCTGAAATGTGGCGTGGAGGAGATGGAACTATATAAGGATTTGGGGTATGCTGTTTGCATTGTAGAATTCTGGAAAGATATTTCAAGTCACCTCACTTCTTCACTACATCCCAAAATAACAGCACAACGTCATGAGGAAGAAAAACAGCTTTTAAAATGTTTACGAAGACTCGCAATATAATTGAAACTGAAACGCAGTAAAAACCACAGACTTTTTCCTACGGTAAATTCTTGAGTTTTGTCACTTTCTCCCATTAAGGCATTATTTCACTCATCGCATGATAATATCCACCAGGGCTCCCGCAGGATCCTCCATAGACTGCAGTGTTGTACTCTTGTCTTTTTGTAGGTTGAGTGGACATCCCATAAAGAACAAAACAGGCAATATTTTTCCCGAATTAGCGGTTGTTTTATTCTTAGCATGGCACAGTTTGTTGTTAGTCTGTCTGTGGCTAGGCACTAACCAGTAATTTGATAAATTATTTACAGATCCAGCTGGGACACACACACCTTGATTGTGTTTATTCTTGTATTATGTCTTTCTCATTGTAAAATGGGAGGTTGAATGTATGTTTCATATGCCTGTAGAAACTGCCAAAATCTTTACTTTTACGTTGTCCTATTCTCAAGAGAAGTTCTGTCTCTCCCCATGCTGTGTATGTGTTAATGGATAGTGTGATTTTTATTACCGTATATACTCGTCTATAAGTAGAGTGCAGTTTTTTGACCAACAATTGTGAAATGTGCTATGACTTTTGGATAAGTCGAGGGTACTGCATTCGAATGGAATTGTTCTCCTTCTGTCCGGATACCGAACAGACTCTGTGTGGTCGCCTTGTTAACACCTCGTAATCACTGACCACCTGGCTGTTAACAACAAATAAGCAGTCCCTGGGGCTGCCATTTGTATATATACGAATGCACGTGTTCAAAGAATCTTGTCTCCCAAGCGCAGGCAGTGGTACATGGTCATCGACGGCATGGATCTCTGAGTCGGCTACGCAAGCCAGCTAACCCTGCTTAAACTTGTACCCCTGCCCGAACAGCTAGGAGAATGGCGTTCGGGAGTTGAAATTATATCGAAACTAGCACTGATCCGTGGATGTCGACTCTGCATTTTTTAAAATTAAGTTTACAACTAAAATTTCTGGACTTATACACAGTATATACGGTAATTAACTTCCGGGCAATTGTGGCCAGGAACGAGTATTCTGTCAGCTTAAAGGGATTCTTTAGGTCTAGAAATACAAGGCTGTATGCCTAACACTATAGTGCCCTCTGGTCCCCCTCTTCTCCTTCGGGGGGACATAAAGTGTTAAAAACCTTTTTATTTACTCACCTGATTCCCTCGACGATCCCCTTCCTCCAATGTCAATCGACATTTACATTCAGACACTCCCAGATAATGTACACAATCCTTCCCCTCTGTTTGGGAGATAATTGAGTTAATTACGGTATCAACTCAATTATCTCCTGTGTTTTTAAGTTTGTACCAATTTTTATAAACGCCTCAAAAACATATGGGAACCTCATAAAACATATATCCCCTGATAGCCCCGATCTGGGGGAACAGCATACTGAAAAATCACCTAGATCGGTTGAGGGGTTCAAGAGTTAGCTGGAAGTCTCTTTTCGACCAACCGCACGCATGGTTTAATGCCCAAAATAGTTCCAGAGCATTAGGCTGTGCAGCCGGGCTCTTTCACACAAAGTACATTAAAATAGTCGAACGTAGCTGTTCGTACACAGATGCATTAAGTGTAGTTGGTTCGGTAGATTATCATGTAATTACCGTCACAGAACGAGGTGTGGAAATCCCAGCAGGGTTCGTGCTGTCAAGTGTCCGATTTTTAGTTCCATGCACTCAATGACAAAACACCGCTGTCCGCATTCGCATCCCAATATGGCCGCCGCCACGTGTTCATGCATACGAACACCGACCACCCAGACGATCACTTAGAATGTTAGGGTGTTTTGTGGTTTTTAGATGTGTTTAATAAGGTCGGTGATATTAACAATCGCCATGCTCCAGGTCTGGGTGGTTGGTCGTTCGGTAGATTTTTCGTTATTTGAATGGCCAATAGTAAACTAAAACAGGCTTTATTCCATCCGAACGGTTAGACGAACAAACTATTTCATACTTTAAAATTCAGCGACAGAGGATCTGTCACAGGGACCTCCCCAGTGCCCCTTGGAGTGTTCACACCAATAAATTAGAACATTGGCAACTTGCAACATAAGTGTGAAACTGCAATGGAAGTAATTAATGAGTGCTTCCCTGGTGGCCACCATTTGTATAGACGGACGGCGGCCAGGGGGAGGGGGAGCGGGAGCATTCGTGTCCTGAATGGAGACTCTTCCCTTGCCTGGTTTCACCCAGGGACCCCACGAACAGAGCCAGTTACCGTTTGGCAGTTACCCTGAGATTGGTGGGGACAATGGCGGTTTGGTGGACTTTCTGTGGCTGGGAGCTACAAAAGCGGGAAACTTTCCCACGCTGGGACTCACAGGTACAGAGGCTCATTGGATGAAGACCCCCTGGCCACCGGAGGTGGGAGACCCTGAGGATAAGTGGCGGGGACAAAGGGACTGGAGCCCCGTTAATGAGTGCTGTGCCTGTGACATCAGACTATTGTGCGCCAAGCAGCAACGGGATCATCTCCCGGAGCTGGATTGAGGGAGTAAAAACTTAATTTTAACATTCTTTGAGAGTTTGGTTTAGGGGCACCTACAGAATAATGCCAATAGAGCGTTACTCTGAAACAAACAAAATAACCAATTTCTAAACATTCGCTAAGGCAGTTATACTTTTAGTTCTACTACTTTAGCTTTACTTTCAATTTCCAAAAACACACACTGTGGGTGCGCCTCCATG